AAAATGCACGGCATGCTTCGACCGGTGACCAAGTCGTAGGTTGCCGCGGGTGGTGAACTGGTCTTTGTTGGTCTCTATGTTGTGTGAGAGGCAGCTGGCCAATACACCACCCTTAGTACCACCCTTAGACGTCACATTCCAAGCTATCACAATGCACTTCATGACACACCACCACATTATCCTTCACCACATTCATTTCACTTGACCAGATCACCAAGCACAGCATTACACTTGCTCAACAACATTTCACCACACTACAAATCACCGCGCACAGATCACATCCCATTAAACTATGTCAAACTGCGGGTTTGGAAACTTCCGCCCTCCAGCTCTGCCATGATGGATGTTTGTAAGATGTGGGGCGAAGGCGAACAAGCAGTTTGGATCCAATTGTGTCAAACACATTGAAACACCATGTAGAATGATGGATCATGCACTGCACGTTGCTCGAAGCATTTGGCTTGATGTCCAAGCGGAGTTTGCAAGTTTGAGGGTAGTCATGGCCAAACTTCTGGAGAAAAGACGAAGGATTTCAAAGCCGAATGGAAACTGGAGAGCCCTGCTGCAAAAGATGATCGGATTCAAAGGTTTCAAAGCCTGCTGCTGGGCTGGTTGGGCCTGCATGATTTGCTTGGCGCCGTGGAATCTGACATGCACCGCCACATTTGCCATTTGTTTGTTGTCCTCATTCATGCTCGGGTTCTTTTCGTCCGGAAGTGTCCGATATCAGTATCAGAAAATACACGCGTGGCATGCAAAAATCAAAAAGCTAGCTTTGCTAGGATTGTGTGTGGCTCACGTTGGATACTACTGGCAGGCTTGCATGGCTTGCATATCCTGGATTATTTGTTCTTCCTGGACTTGCATATCCTGGATTGCATTCTCGATTCTACATTTTTCATGGTCAAGCATGACTTGGAGTTTGCGTCTATGTTCCTATGCTTGGAGTCTTTGCGCCTGGGTTCTGGGCTGGGTTCTGCCATGGGCTCGCACATGCTTGTGCTTAGCTGCTGTTCTGTGCCTAAGGAGTCGCTGGTTTTCGCGTCTTTTGGTGATGCAGTGGTCCAAGGTCTGCATGAGACGTCGCAGGCCGCCCCCTGATGGCGAGCAAATCCGAGCCTACCATGGCACTCATGGAAGGAATGTGAAAAGCATTTGCCAAGATGGATTTCGGCCGTCTCAAGGTGGCATGCTGGGACCTGGTGTCTACATCTCCAGGGATTTAGAGAAAGTTGGGCGCTACAGCCAACCCTATCGAGGTTCTGGTGTGATCCTAGAGCTTCAAGTCAGGGTGGGCAAGGTTTGCATTGTAGACAGGCAACAACATGTCAACCAAAAGAACTGGCACCAAGACTTTGACACTGCCTGGGTACCATCGAATTGCGGCATGGTGCATTCGGGGCTTGAAGAGGCTTGCATTGCCGATCCTCGGAGCATTCGTGTAGTGAGGGTTTGGCCAGATGGCTACTTGTTGCCCATCCTTTTTCATGAAGTCACTGAGCTTGCAAGGGATGCTTGGAAGCTTTGCTTGTAGCCCAATGTGTAGATGATGTGGAGCTAAGTGCAGAAAAGCTTTGCCAGAGGGCGAACATCAAGCAGGTTTGATGTCTAAGTGGCCGCCTATGTGGGATGTACAGGCCCCTCATGGGCTTGGCGCTGCGTAGTCACGGGACCTGCTGAAAGGGGCTTCAGAGTTTGTATAGCAGGTTCTGGATACACGCCTGTGTCTCTGGCATGTCGAGAGCAGATTAGGAACGAAAAGAACACACACTGAAGGGTTGTTGTTATATATTGCCTTCTTGGAGTGGCAGGTCCCTAAATGCCATGCCCCAGTGGCGTCAGAGTGCAGACTCAAATCGTCCGCTCGCAATTGGCCGGAAATGCGCGCCACGCCTCCAACCTTAACAGCAATGGCCTCCAACCTAATTAGTAGCGATGGCCTCTAACCCAAGAGCGATGGCCTCCATACCTAAGAGCGATGGCCTCCAACCTACATGTTGCCAGCATGTTCACAAGTATCAATGTCGTCATGATACTTTGACATGGGACGTGGGTTGGCCTGAGGTTTGATGCACCAGCTTTGATGGCAGACCTCAAGACATTTATCAACATAAGATGCACACCCAAAGAGCCAGAAGAACCTCTGGAAGAACGCATTGTAGAGGCAATTGCTGACAAAGTGCCCGAGACAGTGCAGAAGCGCCACTCCGAGGAAGAGGATCCATCACAAACCATTTCGGTGGATCAAGTCGAAGTCCTTGCCGAGCAGAGAGGGGAAGATCAACCAGTTGAGGACACGTCCTCAAAAACAATAGAAGTGCTCCCGGAAGATAATGACTTATCAGAGAACGCTCAGTTGACAGCTGACGAATGGTTGAAAAAGCAAGCCGCTGAGGTGTTGGCTGAAGAAAAGGTTTCCTTGGATGAACCTGTACATGAGCCCGCTCCTCATGCGCCAGCTGATGACCCAATCTCTGAAAAGAAGGATTCCTTAAATGAACCCGTGCAGAAGAAAGCTCCACAGGTGTCGCCCAACAAGCCATTGGAAAA